TGGGCGACAGAGTGAGACTCCAACTCAAAAAAAAAAAAAGTACCAGCCCAACCACCAGATACCAGGGGCTGATATTCTTTCTCATAACTCACACCCTTTCCTAAATGTTTCTTGCCTACAATGCTCATTTCCCTTTCCCAGCAAAGCCCTACTTTTTTCCAAGTCAAACTCCACAAAATCCCATTTTCCCTGTGAGGCTTTTCCAAACACAGTACTTCTTTCTCCATTGGATTACCTTTCCTGCATGCATCTAAAAGCCTTGGTTGACATACCAGTTTTCTTAAATTCTTTGACTAATTTCTCGTTATTTTTCTTCTGTTCCCAGTAGGTTGTAAATCTTTTAGAGGTAGGGTTCATGTCTTATACTTCAATATCCCCTAGAACTAAGCACCCTGAGGGGCTGGTCTGAGTAAGGAGGGGGGAAGGCATGGGCAGCTTGCTTCTCTAACAGCTCTGAAAACACAGCTACAATACAGCAGGGGAGAAGCCCCCAGCTGTCCTTTTTCCAGGTGATGCCATTTCTAACCCTAAGCTGATCTTCTCATCAAGAAAAGATTTTCCGGCCGGGCGCAGCGGTTCACCCCTGTAATCCAGCACATTGGGAGGCCGAGGCCGGGAGGATGGCTTGAACCTAGGAGTCGGAGACCAGCCTGGCCAGGACCCTGTCTCTATAAAAACGTAAAAAGAAAAAAAAAAGCATTTTCCAACTGCTCTTTTGGAGCTTTCATTCCCTTCCAAGAGTGATTTTTGGAACTGTCTTCCGTGCCTGTTTGTCTGAAAGCTCCTTAAGATCTATCTTTAATGCATTCTCCCAAAGCGCCAGGCGCGGGGCTTAGAGGGTGGAGGAAAGGCCCAGCGGTGCCCAGCTAACTCCAACTCCTGCCTGCTTCGACACAGAAAGCGGGGTGCACCCAAACTGTCTCCTCTCAGGCCAGGCGGGACAGCGTGGCCTCACCCATCAACCTCGCTGCATCGGCCTTCGGCTGAAGTCAGGGCACAGGGGCTCTAAGCCCCGCTGACCGCACGCTCTCCGGCCATCACTGTCCCAAGCAGCTCCCTGGGCGAACTCAACAGGTTGGGAAGGTCGTAGTGAGTTCTAACCACTCTCCACAGAGACGCTCGGATTCAACAGAGCCGCGGAGGCGGGTACTCGACTCCGCCCGCAAAGCCGACGGTAGAGCTGATGGAAGAGCTCAGCTTCCAACGCAGAGGAGGCTCTAGCCTTCCTACACGCCGCACGCCCCCACTACACCAGGCCAGCCAATCCCAGAGCGCGAGTGGGCTCCGTCACCAATTAGAAGGCAGGGAAGGCGGGAGCCAAGGCCTTGATTGGCACCTGGTTGCCTCGGGCAGACCCGCAGAGGCCCGAGGCCTGGCAGCGCCGTGTCTGAAGACGGGTCGGTGGCCATCTTTATTCCTGGCAGGTCCGCTGCCTTGGACTCGATCCCGCTCTTCGCAAACTTCACACGTCCCCCAGGGAGGGGTGGGCGGGCCCCGCCCCCGCCCCCGCCCAAAGATGCTCAGTTTCACCACTCAGAGCCATCAATATAGTACTGGAAGTCCTAACAAAGCAATTAGGCAAGTAAAAAAAAAAAAAAGATTCCAAATTGTAAAGAAGAAGTCAAAACTATCTCTGTTTATGGTTGATATTATCTTATAACTGGAAAATCCTAAATATTCCTCCAGAAAACTCTGGGGCTTGAGAAATAAATTCAGTAAATATCAGGTTAC